TCTTTAAAAGTATATTCATACAATTGAAGAATATTTTGTACCAGGTATGTACCGGTACATCCACCACCACATTTTATTTCACCGAGTAAGTTATTTTATTTTTAATTGTAGCCGTTATATTGTGGCTAGCGATTCGGAATGTAATTGATATTAAAAATACATTTAGAAAAGTCTACGGTTTTTACTGGCTTATCGAATAAACGATACGAATGGACCCTAGACCAGAGGTGGCGAACCTATGGCACGCGCACCCAAAGTGGCACGTAACGAATTATATGATTTCGGTTTATCATCTTTTTCAATCAGGTTCTTTACATTTATTCTAATTACGGTATATTATTTTATTTATTTAAAAATAGTTTTTTTAAACTCTTTTCGCCGTGTGGGTACTAAGAGGGCTTTTTTATTTAGCAAGTCCATAATGGGACAGCCGGGCGGTGAAGAATGGATACCCACCTGAAAATTTTCTGGGGTTTTGATCTCGGATCTACCAGAGCGATAGCTACCACTTTGACCGCTCGGCCATTCGGCCAAACTTAAATATAGTTACTCGAAGTCTAAAACTTCTGCACGCATAAACATTTTTAAAGAAAAGTATGCTTAATATGTGGCGCACAGACTCAAAAAGGTTCGCCATCTCTGCCCTAGACCATCACTGACGCGCAATTGACCAATTGCCCCTGGATGTCGGCTTCTTACAGAAACACAGCTTTCCTATCATCAAATGTCACTGCACGCCGCTGATATAAACTGTTTTCTAAAAAATATATTTTTAGAAAAACAAACCTTCAAATGCTTCATAAATCATCTGAAACTGATTTGTAGATTTGTTTGAGAAATGCTGAAATAATCATTTTATTATATAAATAATTTGGATAAAGAATATTTTAGTGCATTTATCTGAAAGAATGACCTAATCTAAAAACACTTACTCACAGAAATCAAAATATCTTGATATTATGTATACAGGTGTATATGCTAAATAAATAACTGAAAATTTTGCAAGCTATCTTAGTCTCTTAAACTTTGATAGGAGTTAACCTATTTCTATTTTTAATGATAATATTTATATCAGATTTTATAACTACTGTAGTTCATTAATTATTATCTATAGCTTTTAAAATCATCATAGCAATATTAAATAACAAAAGAAGTTCTGTTTTAAAGAGAAGTCAGTTTTATGTTTTCATTTTAACACATTAAAACAAAATGTCAAGTAAATCTTATATATATATATATATATTTTTTTTGTGATAAAGAAATACTTGTCTATTATCACATGGGAATCATTTGCTCCAACTAAACCTATTTTTCTCTCAAGAAATAGTTTTTCAGACTTGTTTACAATGGACTTTTTGGGAATGTGACAATTATGATTGAAAAAATCTTGTGTTATATTGCTTGTATTGTGTATTTTGTTGTAACAACAAAATACACATTTGAATGTGACAATATATGCATTATAAATTATATTGTTTTTCAGAATATTTTAATATAACTTTGAAATTATCTTATGTTTGTTCTGTTTTATATCTAAAATAGTCTTTTTTTTTTTTTGAAGAATTTCTTTACTTTCAAATAATACTTTAATCATTTAAATATTTTGAATTAACTTAATATTTTATTATTATAATAAATGTTAATGAAAATTATGTAATAGTAAGAAATATAACAACTTATTATTATTTACATTTTAATTTATTAGTTTTCTGTTACAATGTGTTTAAGAATAAAACTATATACATATAAAGTACAGTGTTCTAATTATCCAAAGTAGTGTAGACCAAGGGCACATTGAATAACATGGAATGTTTGATTAATAATTAGGCAAACTGAATTTGGATTCATTAACTTATACTGTGTACTCTATTTTTAGGTAGACCTACTTATTGAACATAATGACTTAAATTACAAAGTACTTAATTTTATATACAACTAAGGTCTCTGTGGTGACCTCATGCACTATGATAAGAAAGGATCACATTAGAAGTAGGCGGTGTCATATTTCCAATAACAAAGACAGCTGTACACCCACACATGGGATATATTCTTATATGAACACGAACTAATTGTCACTTGAATGATCCAAAATCATTCAGATGAAGTGATTGGATGTTAAAAGATGTGTCCAGAGATTCTGGGTTTTTTGGGGTGGTCTATGTGATTGTTTGGGGTTATCATCAAAGCTTGAATTGTAAAATTTAAGGATCTTTAACAGTATGTGCAGGTAGAGTCTGGGTGTTCTGATGAATTACAGAGAGAAGAGAGTCATTGCTTGACTGAGAATTCAATGTCTGAGTGTCTGACAGAAAATAGGAAAGGTAGTACTGAAAAACATGTCAAAATGAACTTGCCGACAAAGCTAGCAAACAATAATTGTAAGATAACATACAATTTGTAACTCTCTCCCCACAAACTATTAAATGAGCTTTAATAAAAAGGACCTACTTTTTTTTTACATCTTGTCGAGCATTGTCATTTTCATCTGGACCCACGCTGACCTCTAAACTTCCCAAAAAGGCATGTAAATAAAAGTGAGATACTGTAGACTGGCCACCACTCAGGCCAAAGTTCCTAGACATCTTGTGACAAGTACAGACCGAGCAGAACAGGAACCTCATACAACTGTTCTATTAAAGCAAATGTAAACCTATTGTAATAATTAAAACTCTAATCTTTATTAAAATTTATATTATAATGAGAAATCATAATTCTTTTTAAAACTTTTAGAGTCCCTTTTGAATACCATATATCACCTGACTGATTCATTAAAATGAACTCTATTGCACTAGTTCTCATCTTTGTTGGCATAGTACTTTTCCACAATTCACCTTGGATAATGAGAAACTCACTTAATAGAGACTATTATTTATAAATACCAACTAGATAAGTCACATTAAGAAACATAAAACAATGTTTATCTTTGTAGTTAGCATGGGCAAACAGTGAGTAGTGTGTCACAAATCAAAGATTATAAGTGATTTATTGTTGAGAAAGGAAAAGAATAGAATTAATAGAAACAAGTAGAATTATTAATACTCTTCATTAGCATAACTGATTGATTCATTCTGTTTACTCCATACTAATGCATAATTAAATTCTAAGACGACATACATATTTTTTCTATGTCATTTTTTACAGTCCGTCTTCTATATAACAGACTGCAGTATACCATATTGCATCAATATAAAAACATTCATAAGTAAAAGGAAAAACATTTTTGTAAGCTTAAAAAAATGGTTTTTGCCAATTTTTATTACCTTAAAATTAATACTGTAATACATACAATTTTTAAATACAGTGTTTTATATACTCATAGTATTATTTCAAGACAAAATCATAAACTAATTTGTGTTTGTGGATAAATGTCTACATATATTCACTATACATTTTTTCTTCCTAGTTTATAGTAAAGAACTATTAATAATTAAAATTATTAATAGTTAATTAAAACTATTAATAATTAAAATTATTAATAGTACTTTAATTAAACAAACTCTTAATTACTTTGCTACTATATTACAACAGTACTGTACAGTACAGTACATATATTATATTAGCAATGTAACAGAAATGTGTTATTTAATGGATCTTACTGTCAGTCCCTACATAGCCTGTTATTTTGAAAATAGATTATATTATTTAAATTAAAAACTCAAAACCTATAATCCAGCATGTACATTTTTGCCCATGTTCAATGGGCAACATCAGGCAAACTAATCCCCAGCTGCTGAAACAATGGGGAATTACACTCCAATGAATTCGGCAAAGTACACCTCTCACACAACTCTTTCCAATCCTTTCTCAAACATCTTGAGCAGGTGGAAGTATATAAAGCACCTGCAATAACACCATTATTAATTTTTGCAATGTTGACTCCCACAGCATAGAAGTCTTTCTCCATACTATAAATCTTATTATCCCCCTCCCCCTTTCTCTTGTCTAACGTCACCTCCCCTCTGCACATGTTTACAGCAATCATCCATTGTTTCAGCAGCTGAGGATTAGTTTCCCTAATAATGCCTGTTCAAACAAGGGTGAAAATGTTTGCATGTATTAAAAATTTGCTGGATTATAGGTTTTTAGGGTTTTTAATTCAAGTATAACCAGTTTTAAGTGGTAGTATTGTATTATTTAAATTTTATTCTTATTCAATTATGATTTGATTACAAACAACAATATAACATAAACAGTATTGCAAATATTAAGATTAACAAATTGAAATAAAAAACTAAAAACATCTATGAAACTGTTTTTCTTTTGAACTTTTCCTAATCACTCATTAGAAGAAAAAGTATGGCTAATTTAAGGTATCTTGTAAAGTGATAAATTTCTAAGTGAAATGAAATTTAGCATACTGTAAAATTTCAGTTACAATCAATATCACATCATCAAAAATAGAAATGTGCAAAATGTTAGAAGTACATTTTTCTGTAAAAATACCATTCATTACAAATAAGTCTCTGCAGAATATCATAAAAAAATATATTGGTTTTAAGTAGTCTTAATTCAGGAACTTTTTTGAAGTGATACAAATAATCAGCTCAGCATACACAAAGCATATATAATGTTGCATTTTTTTAATACAGAAAATATGTTGTTATTCAATTTGTCATGAATTCTTCAACTAGTGATATTAAAATTATGTAGAACATAACACTATTGTTTTTAAACAATTTAGAAATCTTTCTTAAATACTGTAGCAATTTATTATTAGCAATTTAATAAATATACAGTCGACCCCCCTATAACACTGTTGATTATTCCGTTTTATATGAATCCATGTTGTACGAGTCATTTAAATTTTACAAATAGGTGTGCCGGGCTGTGAATGGCTCACGTATTTGTAAAATCTAAGTGACTCATACAACATGGAATTCATATAAAATGGAATAATCAACAGTGTTATAGGGGGGGTCGACTGTATTATATCCTGCATTATATTTGATAAATCATTTGTAAAACAGAAATTAAAATAAAATACAAAATGATGCAACATAAATTTCAAAATTTTTCAATAGAAGTTTCTTGCAATTTGATTTAATGAATTTTAATTGAAACATTCCAGCAAGAAAATACTTTTTAGGATTCGGATTTCTTCTCACTTTCAGGTTGTCGAAATTGCAGAAACAACAAAAAGTATGTCAAGATTGCACTGAACACCTATAATTAAAGAGTAAAAATTAGAAATCAATTATTTTCTTCCAATTTTTTTGATTGAGTAAATTATTAGATAAATTCTCAATTTTCATGTTACAATCAATTTAAATAATTGAAAAAAATGTAATATAATCTTAAAATCTAATAAAGAATTAAACATAATCCAGATTACGAAATTTAATAAAGTCATCTATTGCTAAAATTTCAAATACCTGATATAATTATTAAATATTATTTTATAAATTACTGGGAGAAAGATAATTAAGCAAGCATTATTTATGTTTATAATATCTATTCCATCTAATACCAAATTACTTAATATCTAATATAATAGCAAATTAACCTGATTAATTAAGTTTGATTGAGTAGCAATGCATCGGACTTCAAAAAGTTTATTATAGATATCTATTATTTTATCAGATGGCCTCTATCAAAGTATTGAGAAATCTACATGGGCTGGATAACTGAGAATTTCATAACTTATGTACATGCACACAGTATTTGAGAATCAAACAGAAAAGTTGTTTAGGAAAAAAGTTACATTACATCAGATGGGACCATAAATCATATTATTATACACATGTCAGTCAAAGTGTTAGTTGCTTATCCAAATTTGGTAATTGGGCCCTCAATTGTGTTGAAATAATAAACATAATTGAAGAGAGAAGAAACTTTCTTAAGATGAGCAAATTCCTGAATAAACCTGTAAACTTTCAGTGACAGTTCATCCAATTGAAAAGAGTGGGGAATTGACCACACTCTTTTCAATTGGTGACAAGGGTTGGTGGGGAAATTTGAGTAAAAATGATGAGTCACAACGGAGCCTTCAGATAAGATTGTCACCATCCTCACTGCCAAGTTGAGTTTCATCCTCAAAGATCAGATCAAGTCCTCTCAAACTTGCTGAATTATCTCCCAATGAAAACAAAAGAGAAAGAAATCTTGTTGTGTAGTTCAAATCACCAGAATTATAAGTTATTTCTGCTTCAACATTCCAGCAATCCAACTCTGATTGTGCAACTGAAAAATTGTTTCATTTGGAATTTTGTGATGTAGACAAGATAATTAGTTAAATTAAAATCTGTTATTAAAAAAAAAAAGAAAGTCAATCTTCTGTCTCCCTTCTTCTAATGGTCATGAAGTTACTGTAAAAAAAAGGGAGGGATAATACTCCCACTTACTTAATCCAAGTTTGCCAGTTTTTGTAGGTGTTATATATACAGTAGAACCCCTCTAGTCCGCCCTCGGCTAGTCCGTCACTCTGGTTAATCCGACCGTGGTTGGAGTCAAGAAACTTGTCCCGACTCATCGGTGACTCACCGTCCGTGGCGTTTTTCTGTGTTCGTTACAGTATATGTTTTACATTGTGTGTACATGTACAGTTTTGTGTGTGTTTTCAACATGTCAGGAGTCAGGAGTGAAACGTAAACATATTACTCTTTCATTAAATGAAAAATTAGCAGTGCTACAAAGACTGGACAAAGGGGAAGATTGTTTATTTTACTTTTTTCTGATAATCCGACCTTTTTTGCGTTCCGACCATACCCCTAGTTCCAAAGGTGATGGATTAGAGGGGTTCTACTGTAAGGTTATAATATTTATGTCATAAAAAACCCTATGCCAATAAATATAAAGTTTTACCTTAATATGAAATTGATAACAAAAAATTTTTAGCAACTTCTAGATAATTCTTTTAAGAAATTTTTCAATTTGATTTTTTATTTACTCTGAGAATGATATTCATTCACAATATTTTTGTTTGTACTCAGAATCAGAAAAGACTAATACATTATAGCAAATAATTGAAATGAATGGCTTCTTTCAAAAAGAAATGCTTATAAAACAATATTCTATCTTGATTAACAATATTATCCTTGTAATAATTAAGAATTATGATCTAGAATTCACAAAAACTACTATAATTGAATAAAAAATTAATTTATTTGCAATTAATAATAATAAGATTCAAATAAAAAAATTAAATACAGTCAAACCTCCAAACAATGGCCATTATCTGTTCCCATCAGTGTCATTGTTCAGAAGTTTAACTTTACAGCAGAAACAATACATTTCAACTAAACTGTTACAATTCACCATGGCAGTGTTTTTCAACCTGTGGGTCGCGACCCCCAGAGGGTCGCAAAGCCTTACATGGCAGGTTGCGGGTAAAAGAAAAAGCCAAGTGTTTGCAGGTCCTACACTACAATAAAAAAAAAACTACAGTTTCAGTGAGAAGGCTGTGCCTGTATATTTTACAGTACAATTGGTTTTTCAATTGATATTTAGGTCTCAACAGAAAGAAAATTAAATACATAGTTTTTAAAATCACTGATATAATGTAGTTTTAAATGGTCCTGGGGGTCACCAGAATTTTTTAACTTGTAAAGGGGTCGCATATTCAAGAAGGTTGAAAAACACTGCACCATGGTATGAGGATCAAGGAAAGAAAGAAAATTTTGTTTAAAATTTTTGCTAAGCCTAAAGTCACAACTTTGATAAGATGATACATTTCATCTTTTGGTGAAATTATATCAACTTTCTCATCTGATACATTAGTCACTTTTCTCACAATCAACTCCAAAGAAGTATCATCCTAAAATCTCTGATTGTACAGTACAATCCAATCTAGGAATACTACAGTTTAAACTGTTTTTAAGGGTTGTTTTCTCTGATTTGTCAATATGCATTGTTGCCTATTCTATTGGAGAGTAGTCACATGTTCACCTAGTTTTCAAGACTTGTAGAGTAACCAACTGTTCTCTAGATCATTTGGAGTTACTGAATAATCACCGCTGACTCTCTGTGTTGGTTTGTGTTTCCTGACTCATAGAGAAGTCATCACACATTTGCCAATCACAAAAGACATACATTGCCTTGCTGAAGCACACTAATTCTCTTTCTGGAGAACAATAATCTTCCATCAAACTCCTTTCAATCTTCTACAAGAGAATTGTCAGCATAATATCCAATGTAAGACCTTTTGTCAGATACTTTACTTTATCAATGACTAGGTTACAAGGACTGTCCCACAACTTAGAACTGTTTTTGTAATTTTTTCAACAAAGATAGTTTTATTCTATTCTTGAAGACGTTTAATTTAACTCTGCAGTGATCAAACATGGCTTATCAATTTTAACTCACTCTCTGCATTAAAAATATATTGTGCATGTGTTCTACAGTCTAAAGTGTTGTCAAAGAAATGTTTTATTAAATGATTAACCATGTTGAGTGACTCTCAACTATCTCATCATTTCCTTCTCCACCCTCTCTTACCCTTACCTCCCATTATGTTTACCACTCAAGTAGCAGGCATAACGTATATAGTGTAAGATATTCCAAATATACTTATATTTGGTGACCAACCTTAACTAGAGGAAGAAGAGTTTCAAAGAATCTCACAATGTTATTTTATACTAATCATAAAATTAACACATTATATAAAATAAGAGAATAATCTTAAAACAACTTTAATTAGTTTTTTTAATTAATTTTTTGAATTGACTTACAATTTAAAACTTAGTTAATATACTCATATAAACTGTATTTTATAACTCATTATAATAAAATTGAGAAATTTTAATCATATGCAGTAAAGCATATGATTAAAATTTAAAAAGTTTTGCATAACTTAAACTAAAACTTAACATTTTACTTAAATTAAAATTAATAAGTTGTCTTTCCTAATCATATAAATACAGTGGAACCTCATACTTCAAATGCTTCAGAGTTTGAACTGTGCACAGTGAAAATTTCCAGCAAGTTGCATAACTTTCCTGGCAACATTTGGTAGTATCATCTGGTATGATATTTTATTAAAAAGCTTTTTATATTTTTAACTATTATAAAATGACAAAAAGCTTAATTTTGAGAGTAGAGATGGATTTTATAAAAAAAATTGTAAATGCTAATAACAAGTAAAATCATTAAATCCAATCCTACTGGAGATATGACATATGACGCAACCCCCCTTTATCTCCCCACCCCTCAACCTTTAATTACCCTAATACACAAACCTCCCTGCAAAATTTCAGAAATTTTCAATAAAAGACACAGGAGTTATTAAGCTTCAAAGAGGATGAACAAACTTGAGCCACCCACATGCTAACATCCATACGTAAAGAAAACCCTAAATTTTTTTTGTATTTCTTGGCATTTCAAGGCTTCCCTGGTCCAAAATTGTAAAAATTTTGGGAGATAATTTTTTTTACCAATTACCATACTTTCCCTCTGTTATATATAACAAGTTGGGAAGTAAAAATGTAGTTTGATACAAACACAATCTATTGTACACCCAAGTTGTCTCTTGTTCTTGTTTTATATTTGTGTTTTCAGTGTTTTCCACTTTATTTTTGATGTATTTGGTTAAATATATTGTGTGCTATTCATCAATTTTTAATAGTTTTTTTCCTGAAACTTTTCTTCTTTTCTTTGTTGACAGCTTTTGGGTATCCTGTACCATACATTTATATTCTTTAGTTCAAAATTTCCTGAATGCAACTTTTTAAACCACATTTGACATGTTCAAAGTTTAGAAGCATCTTTCTATTTCACTTCCCACTATTTATAATGAGAAAAACTGATTTGGGCTTCGAATGAGTTGGAGTTCAAATGGTCTCCTGCTATGAATTAAATTCAAAGTATGAGGCATCACTGTACTTATGCATCTTGAAAAATCAAAATGTCATTAATCACTCTAACAAATTAATCAAAAACTTATCAATAAATTGATTTCTCATATTTTTGTATACTTGACCAATCTTGAGTTTTTGATTTAGTAGAAAATTTTTTAGAATGACTTGTATAAAACACCAAAAAGTATTTTTAAAATTGCTTTATTTTAAGAAATATAATATAGCTTTTAAGCAAATTAAAACACTGTTCAAAGTTAGATATCTACAATCTAATTGCAATGCAACAACAATAATGTTTTCATTTGCAAATTCATCCATACTTTGAGCTTGCAGCAATTGATACATTACAAGCTTGATTTAAATATAAAGATATCTAATTAACTTTTTAAAAACCTTTAATTTTCTTAGTAATATATTGTTATCATTTACCTTTAATATGACACCTTTGGTTACAACAAAAAAATCTAAGCATGTTAATCCAATGTTTGGTCCATTTAGCTTTTCTAAGAAAAGTGTCACCTGGAAAAAGATATTAAATAAACTAACAGAATTAAACAGATAAATCATAAAAGTCAATTTTTACACCACACTTTTACTCTCTTTAAAAAAAAAAGTTGAGAGAAACTTTTACATCTAATTCAAATTGTTTTGAGCAAAAACTTTAGAAAGTTTTCTAAGAAATAAATTTTAATTACATAAAGGATCGATTCTTACTTGCATTTGATGCCGCCTTGGTAATTCAAATCTTAGTAATTTATGAACAACATCTGATGAATCGTGAACCTATTTATTATTATAAACAAACAAAAATTGATTAAAAGAAAATCAATTTTCAGTAGTTTCAACTGTTAAATAAAACTTACCGAGATTGTTACCGAGGCTGCATAGAGAGAAATGATGGTTAAATTCATAATGTCACCAAATGCCCAAAGTCCAATAATTGGTTTTAAATCATCAACAATAAAAAATTGATATAATAAAAGACAAGATTCTGGAATGCAGACAAGATAATTTATGAAGATAAAGACAGAAAAGAATTCATCCATTGACCAGATCAAATCACAAATTTTTTGATGTCTTCGCATGACTTCTTCTAATCTTTTTATTACCTCTTCTACACTACTCATTTTCTCAATATCTCTAGCAATTTCATTCAAGCGCTCAGTTGTTAAATCACAAATTAACATGAAATATATTGCACTTATAACAGTTATGCTCATAGCATAAACTGTTATTGTGATAAGTATTGCATAAGCAACATGAACATTCATATCATCCCATATTTCAATGCATTCATCAAAGATAGATAGATAGAATTTTACTAAACTTGAAATGAAAGTTGTTGCAATTATAGGATAGAGAACAAAACAATAAAGTTTTTGAGTAGTGGCAATAGATTCCATTTTGTGAATTCTTACTGAATCTGGTCTACTACCTGTATCTTCCCATAAGGTAATGAAAATTTCTCTCATATGCTTACTGCGTTTAGTAAAGCCAAATAAAACTATAATCATAGCATTGCAAAAAGTATGACTGCAAATAACAATAAAAATATTACTTATGCTAGACTCAGAATATTTTTTAATGAACAAATCAACAACTTCAAGCTTAGGTTTGTTAAAAGAAAGAGTATATATCTGATAAGCAGCAAAGAAAAAGAAAAGCCAGAGTGTCCAACCAATTATACATGTATTTAGAATTTCAAAGAATCGGCTGTTCAGTTTAAAGATTCTTAGAAACTTTTTTGATTTCTTTTTAATTTTCCCATCCTCTCTATGTAATGTATTTGAAAGACCAAAGAATTTCATAAAAAATACAACCGGATAGAAAAGCTTCCGCCAGTCTCTTGAATTTGTTTGCAGACCGAACAAATCTTTTTTGGGCATTGTAACATATAATTTAGCATTCAAAATAGAAAAGTTATTGTGCTTTGCATTAATGGTGAGGTACTATATTGTTTAATATATAGAAAAAATAAAAGAAAGTCAACTTTACCGATACAAGAACCATCATATCTGAATTACTTTATCGTTCTTAACTTTATATAAGACGTATTGATTTTCTAAATCAACTGATTTATTGATTTTTGAAGAAATCAATACTTGATCAGTGTGCATTTTATTTAATTAAATATTACGTTAGTAAAAGTGCAGCAAAACTTTTAGAAATAGTTGAATTTTAAAAAAATATCGAAAATAATACTCTTCCATTTAAGCATTGACTTTATATATGTGTAAATCTCTATATACAGCTATGTTAAGTAATACTAAATGATCTGCCAGATTGTATTAATATTGCTATGTTAAGTATATTACTATATAGCTTTATTAATTTAATAGACTAAGTTAGTCAAAATAACTTAACTTAATAACTGTGTAAATCTATGCAATGTAAAAAAAAAAAAAAGAATTCTGAAGGAAATAGATTCATTAATCATATAAAAAAAACTTTTAATGTCTTCTTATTGACTAAAGAATAAAAAAAATTAATTTAAAGAAAAAAAAACAGCTTTTGTAAATTCATCAAATTATTTAATTACAAAAATTGCAATAACTACCTGTAACATGAGAATAGATATCGATGTTACCATGTAAAACAATCCTTTGTAATTCATCTTCTAAAATTAATTCATCATCATCACTTGTGTAATTACTTCTAGGATTTTGTGTAATTAAATTATGCTAAACAGAAATTAACATTGCATAAGTTTTCATCAAATTTAATAATTAATTAATAAAATATTTACAGATAATGATGATGACAGAAAACTATAAGTTAGTTTACAANAACCTTTAAGGTATACAAACTGTACATAAAAAACTTTAATATAAGCTCTGTATATTATATTTACATTTGCAATTATTAAATTTCATTTGACCAGAACAATAGGAACATATATGAACCAATAGCTGACAGTCATCTAAGTTTCTTTCATGCTACTCTCAAAACTTTTACTTCTTCCATTATTCTAAAATTATGTTAAAATAAAAGGAACTACTAAATCTTCTTTGTGATCAATTTTAATTTCTTTCAATGCATTCAGTGTCTTGTCAAAAACATTATTCATCTGGAAAATAATGAAAGATAAAATTCAATATATATATACACACACACCAGCAATAGCAGACTTACTAAAACTACTTTTTAAAGACAAAACAAATAAAAGTATAAGAATTGTGTTTGTTTCAAAGAAAAATACTAATAAATGATAATTTATCATTATTTTTAATCAAATTTTAAAAACTTTTTAGAGTAAAAAATAACTATACAAAATTAAAAATCCTCTCAAACACCTAAAATTGATTAATAATACATAAATTAAATAATAATATAAAATTTGTACAAAAACTAAAAATTAAAAATTAACTCATAAACTAATTTCACTCTGCTGAAAACAATTAGCTGAAATGTTGGATCAACTGTAATGTTGTCGTGAAAGAGAATATGTATCATAATAAATGATATTTGTTTAATTTATTTTAAAGTATTTTTATAAAGTTAATTTAAATTTAATAAAAATAAGAGTAACAAATTTAAAACTACTTGAGTCAACTTAAACTGTAGTAAAAACAGATTAAAAATCTTTTTAAGTAAAGTAATTTTCACTTCTGAATTTTTATATAAACTTGGGATTGGCCTGATGAAATAAAACAATAAAATACAAGGATTATCTGCCACAGAAATGCTTCCAATGTGTATTAGTAATTTAGTAAAATGCTACTTGAAATGAAGCCAACATAGTGTTCAGTAATTTTATTCACTCAGCCACTGGTGGCCTGAAATTTTAAAAATAAAAGTGTTTTATTAAAAATTTTTGTAGATGGAGACATGATTCTTATTTATCCAACACAAAGGCACTGCTTTCTTTTATTAATAATTTGCTTTTCTATTATCAATTTAGTAAAATGCTACTTGAAATACATTAATGTTGAAATAAAGATAAAAATTTTTAAATTTCATATTATTAAATACAACATTATGAAAAACAAATTATAACAAAATTTAAAATTATTATACTTCAATAGTATATTCAACAGTGAACAAAATATGAAATTTTACATAATGCATTCTAATATTAAGCATATTTGAATTTATGTTAAAAAATATAGAAAAATAAGTTCTCTATAAAACAATTATTATTCATTTTTACACTACTAAATAAAATACAGTGGTACCTCAGGATACGAAATTAATCCGTTCAAAAACTGAGATCATATCATGAAAATGTCGTAAGGTGAATCATTTTTCCCCATACGATTACATGTAAAGCCAAATAATTCATTCCAACATGAAAAACACACTCAAATTAAAGCTTAGTAGTACATTAAAAAAATAACTATAGTAAGGAAAACACTGAAAAGCACATTCTGTAGTTATAAATGTATAAATAACCATAATAGAATAATAATTGATAAAAAAATGTAGTTTTATTTGCACTTTACCTTTGAGGATAGATGACGGTGGAGGTGTAAATTGGTGCGGAGGAGAGGGAGAAGGGAAATGATACTAAAACTTAACTTACATAACATAATGTAACAATAACTTAAAAATAACTTAGAAAAGATAAAAAAAATTAGTGTTGTTTTATATATATATATTTTTTAATTTTTATTCACTGCTTTTTGTTTTCTTTCCTTCACTTCTACCAGCACTTTCACTGGATAGAGGTCGCTTGGTAAAATATCTATCCATAGGTTTGGATACTTTTTAAAATGTTTCTAAAATGACTTAGGCAAATGTCATTACTCCAAGCAGCAATACGGCCAGTGTAAACCTTTTTGGAATGTTTCTGTTCAATAAAATCAGTCACTTTCTGATAATACCTCGAGATTTCCTTTATCGAGCGAGATCCTTCCACGATGAAGCAAACACGCGGACTGAGACCGAAGTGAATAAAAAATGGCACTATGAACTAATGTAACTTCGTATGGTGAGTTTTTGTTCGTATCGTGGAGCAAAAATATGTTTGAATTTCATGTTGTATCCTGAAAATTTCATATGCTGGAGCGTTCATATCCTGAGGTACCACTGTATATTAACATGACTCACTTAAATAATGTGATATTATACTTTAGTTTAAATTTTGTCAAAATAAAATATCAGAGATAATAATAATGTGATAAGGAGAAAACTTTTAAATTCCATTATAAAGGACAAAACAATGTAAAATAAATCACTTTCTTCATTATATATGCAGCAAATAATTAAATTGTACAGAATATAAATTTAAACTTAATTAATAATAAGATTTTAATCTGCTTATAATACAAAGTCAAACTAACCAATGCAAGTAACTTAATAAAGAAAAAACACCTTTAAACCTTTAACAGTGAGTAATGGTTTGGCCTATTAACTGAGTTGTGAACATTCACATTTCTCCACCTTCAGGCACAAAAGGATACAAGAGAAATGCTAGTATAGAACAGGTAAGACTGAATAAACAATCAAGAAAAGATGGACTTAGATATTGGTGGATGGTGTTTTCAAATAATTAAAAAAAATTGCCTGGCAGAGAGAAGGCAATCTTGTCCTTGCTATTTAAACATATATTGATAATGATATTGTTAAAGATTTCATAGTTTTTATACTGACATGAAAATGGAAAGTGTGTGTTCTGATGACTCACTGCCTGCCAATCTACTTTGTTTCTGGGAAGTTCAACAAATAAAGATAAAATAATACTAGACCTTTCTCTTTTGATATTGTCTGTGCATTTAATGAATTTCTGGTTGAGGAATCTGAACTATAGCCTACTTAAGCTGTTTTGATGAATGTAGTAGTATGGTAGGTGTGTCTAATATCTTGTGTTTGTGTATAAGCTTTTAATGTATTATGTTTGCTTTTTGAATATGTTGTAAGTAGTCTGTTCATATTAAACTTTACACCCTGATGTTGTAGAAAGTGGCCAAAACTATGAGTATCAACTGCAAGTGTTGTATCTTTAAAAATTACTTCCTGTTCTTTTTCAGGTTTACAGCTTAATCTTGTATGGCAATAAAGCCTTCTGTCTCTCCAAACAAGCATCCCAGAGCTAGCAATTTGATGAAGTTTGTCAATAAGATCCTGGCTAAGATCATTAGGATGGCTATGTGGTTTTTCCATGCCCAAGACTGCTTTATGACCATATCTGTGTCTTTTATGTATTGTGTCATGTCCAGGTCAGTTTTGTATAGGCTTAACCATGTATTGATTTAAAGATGTATTGAATAAAAACCAATATATGGTAACAGGTTTGTATAATTGCAATGATTCTTCTTTTTATAGAAAAACTTTGGCAGTATCTGTATTTGTTTGTAGTAAAGATTTAAAATATCTATATAAAACAGCTCCAGTAACCCAAGTAATTTAATTAAAAACAGACAATCTGCTGAAATTATCTGGCTATAAAGCTAAGTTAATAATTAACTCCGCCTTGGATGGTCCTAAGCCCAGCTGTGAAAGGAGAAAGGTGGTCATTCTGGCAAGATGACCAGAACCAGGAAACTGGGGAAACTAGCCAAGAAACCATATGAATTTCGAATGAATCCTGATTGCAGCTAATGCTACCGCATCCGGGGCAGCAGATGCGCCAGCACTATAGTCCCAGGAAGCTGGTGAGAAATTAGATATGGGCCACAGATGGAAACTATATATCACCTCAAAAATTGGACTGAACATTGCTGCATGGAATGTCAGAACAGGACACCATGTTGGCCAGAAGGAAATCATTGCAAGTGAACTTGCTAAATGCAATATTCTGATTGCAGCTCTATCAGAACTAAGACTTACTGGATCTGGAACAATGACTATACAACCACCGAATAGCGATAAGACAATGACACTTTGCTATTCTGGTGGTGACAGTTGGGAGGCAGGCGTTGGGTTCATGGTGGATGGGCGGGCTGGGTGCAGTGTTGTCACCTTCCAGCCAATATCGGACCGTTTGGCAGTTCTTACGGTACACGGCACCATCAAGGCCCACATTGTGAGCTCCTATGCACGAACTGAAACCAGTCATGACACAGCCAAGGATGAATTCTACAACCAACTGCAGTATACGGTGGACATGATCCCACAGATTGAGCTGATTATCCTGGCCAGTGACTTTAATGCCCATACTAGTATGGACAGAAGTGGATGGGAGACAACAATGGGCAAATTT